CGGGCACACTCGCAGCTTGGGATGTTTCCCACGTGGAGCCGAGCGCTGCCTGGCGTGGGAGAGCAGTGGAGGCGCCGGCGCTGGCCGCTGACGCGGGGGATGGTGCGCGGCGTTGGGGTGGAAAGGGGAGGAGCAGGCGGCAGCGGCAGATGACTGGAGCGGGGGGATGAAGGGGGCGGGTCCGGGCGGTGAAGGCTGGAGCGAAGGGGTTAAGGTTGCGAAGGAGATGAAGGGAAAAGGGCGGCGAATGCTGGACTGAAGGGAGTGGAAGCGTAGCCACGAATGGCTGGAGTGAAGGGTGTGAAAGAGATGAAGGGAGAGGGGCGGCCATGGCTAGAATAAATGGAATGAAGGGAGTGGAGGCAGGGCGGCGAAGGCTGGAGTGAAGGGAATGAAGGTGGGGCCGCAAAGGATGGAGAGTAGGGTACGAAGGGGATGAAGCGAGAGAGGCGACGAAGACTCGAGCGAAGGGGATGAAGGGAGCCGAGGCCGGGCGGCGAAGGCTGGAGCGAAAGGGATGAAGGGCATGCAGGCGGGGCCGCAAAGGATGGAGTGTGGGGTGTGAAGGTTATGAAGCGAGAGGGCGGCGAAGGCTGGTGCGACGGTGACGAAGGGAATTGAGGCAGGGCGGCGAAGGCTGGAGCGAAGGGGATGAACGAATGGAGGCGGGGCTGCAAAGAATGGAGAGTAGAGTGCGAAGGGGATGAAGCGAGAGGGGCGACGGAGGCTCGAGTGAAGCGGATGAAGGGAACGTAGGCGGGGCCGCAAATAATGGAGATAGAGTGCAAAGGGGATGAAGCGAGAGGAACAACGAAGGATCGAGCGAAGGTGATGAAGGGAGCGGAGGCAGGGCGGCGAAGGGTCGAGCGAAAGGGATATGAAGGGAATGGAGGCGGGGCCGCAAAGAATGGAGAGTAGGGTGCGCAGGGGATGAAGCGAGAGGAACTACGAAAGCTGGAGCGAAGGGGGTGAAGGGAGCGGAGGCAGGGCGGCGAAGGCTAGCGCGAAGGGGGTTGAAGGGGGTGGGGGGGGCGGCGGGCGTTGCACAAGCGGAAAAGCGGCCAGCGTCGCCGCGACGCTAGGCCATCCGCGCGAGACAAAGATCTCCGCGGGCGCCTGCGCTCTCCCGTTTCACAAAGAGAGGAGCCGTTTGGGAAGGAGCCGCCACCGCGAGGACGCGCGCGCACAGCGGTTTCCTCTGTTCGCTCCATTCATTGTTTTTCCTCCGCCCCCGCCCCGCCCGCGACCGTCTTTCCTCGGCCGCTTTCGCGAGTAACACAAAATCGCAGGCTCCGGGTCGGTGCACGTCCGCGCTGCAACTTTCACGGCTTCATTCTACGAGGAGAACGACGAATTCTCCGCGGGAGGTGCAAGAGACAAAACCGCTTGTTTACTAACCAGCGAGCTCTGGCTCTCACGAAAGTCTAGTTTTTTTCGCGAAGGAGATTATCCTTCCTCACGAAAAACTCTTCTTGGAGGAAAGTCAATAGAGTCGCGTTTACGGAGGGTAAGGAACGGGCTGACCCTGAAGGAACGTGTAAACTTAATTACGGAGTCAGATTTCGCGGCTTCATTACCACTAGTCTCTTCAAAAACGGCGGTTTTCTGTCAGTTACTTAGCTTTGTTATGAATATAATAAGCTAGAGTTTTGAAGCAGGGGGAAAAGTTTTATCCTCTCTTTGCAGACGATCTAAAAATATATAATTTTACGAGGGGTCCATGCATGAAACGATTTGCCTCTAGAAAACTGTATTCTACTAGTTTTACATCTCCCGTCGAACATTAACTGCGTCTTTGATGCACCTTAAACTATTATTCATGTTATCGACATACCTCCTACAAATAATTATAGCAGGTGTTTGTACTACATTCAGCAATTTACTTCTGTCCTTTCCGAGAACTCTGTTGTATATTTATTCTTTGATGAACTGTCTTGTTGGCGTAACTTGAACAATGGCGCATGGGGAAGTGGGTACACTGACTTTTTGCGCGAGAAAAGTTTTAGGAACGTCCTAAATTACGTATCATATTTTCGAAATTTCGGGTAATTTTCATTCTTTGTTGCAGAATTTTAAAAAGAGACAAAGCTCACTTCGCTTGTGGCCAAAGCAATGGAATGTAAAGCACGTTTTGGTCGTATGTTAAAGTTCACATCGTCTATTCACAACTTCTACAAAACCAAAATTTGCTTTCGCAAACAGTCCAAGTTTATGTAGCGCCACCAATTACTACGTCAGTCCAACTAGCAGAGAGCATTGTACATTCGCTTGAGAGCCCTCCTCCGCGCAATACGTGCCCAACGCAGAGGCCGGTGGGCGTTCGGTTCCGTTCCGTTCCGCCCCAGTGGCTGAGAGCGGCAGAAGTGCTCGCCGCCGCTTCGCCGGAGCGCGTTGCGTTGCGGGGTCCTCGGTTCGGTGCCCGGCGCGCGCCGCTGCGCTTCACGACGAGGAGCTCCCCCGGGGGGGGTCACGGGCCCCGCGGCAAAAAGACGCCGCAGACAGCCCAACGGGCGGGCCGGCGGGCGGGCTGACGGTATCGGCGGCGGGGAACTGGAGCGCGAACGCAAACAGCGGAGCGACGGCGGACAAGGGCGGCTTTCACGAGCGCGGCCGGCCACCTGGCGACCCGCGACGCCCCGCGCACTGCGCCCGACGCGCGGCCGCGCGGGCAAATCACGAAGCGCACCTCGCCGTGTGCAAAGAATAAACGCGACTGTAAGGCTGCGTCATATGTAATATTATAGTTGGAAACTAAAATTACCATCGCTATAAACGTAACACCTCAACTTGACAAACACTTTACATCGACGGAAAACGGTATTTCCTGAAGAAATCGCTTTAATTTGGAAATGTGGGCCTTCCGAAGATCGTAATCAAATTCGTCAAAAACTACATTATGATAAGAAGTTAATTCCTTGGTGGTCGTTCCGTTTTCTCGACCCAACGTGAATCAAAACCACAAGTTTTGTCCTTCTAGATAGGGCGAGAGTTGCACTGCCCGGCTTCGGGAACGACGATTTCCAGAGCAAATAATGAAAGGATTCTTTGCTTCTGGTCGTTTGAGGCACAGATCGGGAGCAGCTCTCAAGACTCTTGAGTTATGAATCTCCTCTACTCATTCTATAGGGTTCAAGTGGTTCATTGAATTCGAATCCGGGTAATACAGTTTTCAAAGAAAAAATAAATAAATTTAGATAAACGTACGTGTTATTTGATTATTGATCCCCAGAGCAATGTAGTTTTATTCACGGCAGCCTTGGATAGTGCAACAACTATTAATTGAAAAAGAATCAGCATGTATAACTCAAAAGGAAGTAGTGAACAGATCTGAAATGACAAATGTTCATCACAATATGACAATGTTTATGATAATCAAAATCATATGCAATGCAGTATAAATCCCTTGGGAAAATAAATTCTATCGACGTAGATATAAATATATCGTTGCCCTATTGAGAAAGTTACGTAAGTCAAGAATCTTAACCTTTACAGTATGCACAAAACATATTATTTTTTTTACTCACCAAATAATGTAATTTAATGAGTTGGTTTAAGCATTAATTCATTACAGTCCTAATTAATACATTAATACTCCACTCACGAAGAAATTACTTCATTTCGCTCTCGATGGAATTACTAATACTTATTTTCTTGACATTGGAATTACGCTGTACCGTGACGAAAGATTTCAATGCTGTGTCGCGAGTTGTCTTTTTGTGATGTGAGCGTAGTGTGTCTCGTGGCCTTCGGGCGTGTAATGGACTCGGGCATGCACGGAATGCAGCGAGAGTACGGAGCGTCGAGAAAAAAAGCGCACTAAAGGAACGGCCGCAGCGAATCTTACGTTTCGCTTTTCCGCGTTCTTCTGTTGGAAGCTGCTGCGCGAATGAGGTGACCTTGCAATCAGCTCTCAGGACGATTCAGAAACATTTTTTCATTGAAGTCTCCCATTTATCCATTTCATTCCTTTTAAATGTGAACCATTATTTTTTTCAACGAACTTTGTATCACGTTTAAGGAATTTATAATAAAAGATTAGCGTAAAATTCTTACATTGAAATATTTTCAATCACGCACTATAACTTTCAGGTCTCTATTTTTTAATCTCCGTCAACGACAAACAAAATTTTCACTCTAATTAATAGTCATTCTAGCGAACATTTGGAATACAACAACAGGGCCATTGAACAAATATTTGAGATGTTCAACACCAAAACCAGCTCATGACATAATTTTCCAAATTATTATTATTATTTTTATTACAATGTTTCAGGTCTTTCAATACTTTACGAGACGATACCGTAAAACTCCAGTTTCTTTCCACCTAAAATGGTGCGAGAACATATCCCAGACATATCAAACCAGGTGTAGTTGCGAAAAGAGTTTTGTTCCGTCTTGTAAAACGCTCCATATGGAATGAGTTGGATATTATGCATGTACGATTTATCATCAGTTTTCACAAATTGTCTCGGCACAGTAATATAATTCGATGAAATATTTAATAGAAAATTGACCAATGATTGATTACTTCTCAACTGTTAACATGTCTGCGCTTGCTCAAAGACCTGATTATACTAAAGCTATATCATAATAACTCACTATGCAACGAGCTGTAGCCATCTAATAAGAGAATAATACAACGGGCGTAGAAATTCCTTTTTCTCCAACAGGATCGAGGACCGCGATGGATTTTGTGCCGTCGATTCCCTCATCACGACCACCAAAACTCATGTGTGCTTCGAGATATTTTTCCTTTGCGAAACACTGTATTACAGAAAACTGCATACTTTGTTTGCGAATGCGATAGTTAGATAGTTAGATATGTGGTATTTACAAATAGTGTTCAGAGTTATGTTACATTCTAAAATTGTGATTGACACCAATTGCTGCGTCGCTGGCTCATTCCACGCCCCCC